TATTTCCGGATGACCCATGATGAGAAGTTGCATTGACTAACTACTACTTCACTATTAAAAGAAGTGCACACAGTTTAAAGAGCCCTTTTGCTCTATTCCATCATACCTCACAAAGCCAAAAAATAGTGAATATCAGAGATGATTGAATCTTTGGCTCCACTTGAGAAAATGGAAAATGTGGTTGAAATTTGTTTAGATGAAAGAGAAATAATGTAAGCCACAAAATCATTTCCTTAACACTATGTTTGGTTTAAGGAATTTGAGAGGAAAAAGAAAAGAAAATAAGATGAAATCAATTTTTCATGTTTCTTTAGAGAGGACAAAGAAAAGAAAAGTGAATTGAAAAGGAAATGAGGAGAAAAAAATAGGCCAAGAAGAAGGAAAACTGGATTCCTTCCATTTTGGTGAGGAAAAGAAGAGAAATCATTTTCTTTTCCTTTCCTTCCAAATGTTCTCGAACCAAACATAGGGTAAAAAGTAAAGAGGAGTTTTTAAATGTTTTAAAATATCCGCACATTAGACTTTGCCATCTTAGACTTTTTGTCAAATATGTAGCATGTTTAATTTTGACCAATGTTTTTAGTTGACATATGTTATTGAAAATTACAAATGTTGTACTTCAACACAAAATTATACATTATCTTCATATTATGTAAATCATTTTTCAATAAAAAAGTTACAGGTCAAAGTTTAACATGTTCGACTGCAAATGTCAAACATGGCATTTTTTGTATTGGCGGAGGGAGTATATTCAAAAATAAGTGACCTTATTAGACAAATCCAATCATTTCAGCCAAATTCTACACTCGCCGCATGGACTCTTTATGCTGACATATTGAAGTGCCAATTACCTTATGATCGGGAAATGCAAGTGACAAAACTCGAACAGCTTCATCATCCCATTTCTTGTCTCCAAATTGTGGAGTGATGATTGCACCATTTGCAATGTAGAAGTTCACATATGAAGCAGCAAGCCGTGTGCCTTGAGGTCTTGGTTTAGCATCGCCGTCCTGTTTCCAAAGATGAAGTTCCTAATTAGTGCTCCCTCATCCCTAAATTATTGCTCACTTTGACTATGCACAGTAAGAAAGTGAAATCTGTGTGATAAATATAGGTGGGCATGGGCTGGGCTGGGCCGGGTGGGTTCGGTCCGGCTTTACACCAATAATTACTCAAACTATTATACCCAAACCCGGGGTGACCAAACCTGAGAAAACAGGCCTTGTATTTTGTCCAAATTATAGTTAATATGGATTCTAAAAGCTAAAAGCTGCAATAAATGAAAAAAGAGAAATTTATAAGCCCATTTAAAAAATAAAATCCAATTAAGAAAGTATGCCAAGGGTTGAAGGCGCTAGAATAAGTGACTAGGTCCTGTTATTTAGTTATGCACTCATATCATATTTAATATCAGGACAGGCTCTTGAAGGCAAGGTTTTGAAAGGCGAAAACGAGCCTCGAGGCGGTGGAGAAAAATGCCTCAAGGCGTAAGCCTTGAGGCGGAACGAGGTGTAAGCCTCAGTTCAGTTTGAAAAAAACAAAGCTAAAATGAATACTCCATGGTAAAAACAGAATACATAATCCATAATCATGATGCTGAAATCTAAAGGCTTCAATTCCTGATTTTTGCAGAAAGTAATACCCAATCTTAGTTTTTAAAATACAAAAAAAAATAAGAAGAGAGAATTACTCTAAAAAATATAAACAATAACATAAAATACAAAGTCACAAACGCCTCAAATCTGTCTTCAAACATGATAAAATGGAAAAAGTTTCATGATTTTTACTTCAAAACCAAAATTAGACAAGTTTATTTCCACTATATAATACAATGAAATTTTTAGTTAAGCAACCTTCATACGAATCGCATGGATGAAGAGGGAGAGTAATGCTGGGAAAAGGGACAGAGAATTAAAGTTGGAATAAAAACTTGAAAAAATTTGAAGGTGAAGTAATTAGAATATGAAGCAGTTTTTGTCTATAAAAAAGAATATGAAGCAATTATCTTATGAAAATGGAGAGACCGAAGGAACAAAAGGTGTGTCGTAGATGGGGTGTGCTAAAGTTGAAGAAGATGGAGAGGCTGAAGTAGTGTGCGAGAGAAGCTGCACTGTGCTAGGTTGAAGATGGAGAGGCAGAAGTACAAGTAAAGAAATCCTAACAAGTGTAAGAAGTTTTTAACAAAAATCTAATGCCCAAGATTTTTTTAAAGGCCCAATTGCTTTGTACGGAGTATCATTTAACCCATAAGTGCTGAAATTTAAATTTGAAGCGAGGCTACCGCCTCAGTTTTGCCTCACCGCCTCAACCGCCTCATACTGCCTCGGCCTGGCAAGGCGTACGCCTCACATACCCTTACCGAGGCTTACGCCTCTGAGGCTTACGCCTCTGAGGCTTAAAAGGCCCGCCTTACCGCCTCAATGCAGTCCGCCTCGAACGCCTTTTAAAACCATGCTTGAAGGCTTTGGCAAGTCCAAAGCCAGAGCCATTTATTAAACGGGTTTTTCTTTGTCCAAAGCCCAAATTTTGGCCCTTATTTTTCATCTAACTCCTCTTAAGAAATGGTTGGGCCTTAGGGCTTTGGTGGGTTTCCCGGCCCATGCCCACCTATGCTTGTGGTTGAAGAAAAATATAATGAACCATATATTGCTTTCCCTAGAAGCATTACTGATACTTTAGGGACGAATGAGAAAATAGGGAAGATAAGTTAAGGACAAATGGAGTAAAGACAATGAAAAGGGTTGAAGACTACAGATCATCCATGATCCATTTCAAAATCTCAGTTAAATGTTCACAACTTCACATTGTAGATCTGCATTTAAGTTTCCAACTAATTAGCATGCTTACTTCCTAAGGGTGGTAATCTCGGTCTGGTTTGACCAAATTACACCAAATCAAACCCAATTTACACAAACCAAAACTGCACCATGGAATTAGAGTTATGTACGGTAACACTTTTTCCTGAATAGAACTAAATCAAAACGAAGCCAAATTGAAAATGAACCAAACCAAAAAGGACAATGAAACCCCGGTGAACCCAAACAAACTCAAACCAGAACATAAACCAAGTGAAACCATACTGGGTTTGATTTTATTTTTGTTGACCGGTAGAAAATTCCAACTAAGAAGAAAGGATGGAGGGAAGCTTCTTTATTATTTCATCTTGATCCTAACAATGGTGATGGAATAGCAAATATAAAGGAAAAGATAAGGAGGGCAAGAGACAAAAAGAATCTCAAAAGTCAAAAGTCAAAACATAAAGAGGGAGACTCCCCTTTCTAAGAACCTAGAGAACTCCCCTGGTCAACAGATTTTGATAATTGATCTCATCAACCCGATTTAAGATAAACCATACCGAATGCAAAATGCACACCCCTTGTACAAAGATGGCAAATTAGGCATTACAATGCAATCCACTATTATGAGTTTATGAATAAGAGTGCACACGGAAAAAGCAAAGAGGGTTACCTCGTATAATCCATTTGCCTCATCTTCAGTCATATAGAGAGGACCAGGCACATGAAGTTTTATCACTTGAAACGTTCTGCCCTTTGCATCTGTTGAATTTTCGAGTACAGTAAGAGCTTCCAAAGATCTTTCATACTGAGAGTCAGCCTTGTCATCAATCCAAGACAACAAAACGACTCCGGGTTTCACAAAACAGCACATGTTATCTATATGCCCATTCGTGTCATCATCACCTGCAAATGAAAACTTTCACAAAGTTGAAGGGAAAACCGTCACTTTTGTTTTTGTTCTATTATCGTTAAGAATCATCAAAGACTTAGGGGCTGTTTGGCAACTTCTGAATAGGTAAGTGTTGAAGCAGTAAGAGGTCTGAACCATTAAGTGCTGAACAAGTAAGAGGTCTAAACCATTAAGAGCTAGTATATTGCTTAACTATTCAGAGGCAAATGTCTGATCAATTCAGATAAGAGGTCTTAACCATTCAGACTCTGTATAATACTTAACCATTCAGAGGCAAACAGTCTGAACCATTAAGTGCTGAATCATTCAGACATCTGAACCATTAAAAGGCTGAAACGAACAGCCCCTTAATGTTTTAACTTTTAAGTAATAAAAAAAATCCAATAATCAATGAAAACAAGAAATGTTTTTGTATGTCTATTTTTTGCGTTTTGACTTTGGAAATATCTTCTCCTTGCTTTCTGATATGTAACTTTGGTGGGTGGGATTTTTAGTGCAGATGTAAATATTACCAATCTTTAAGTGGTAAAAGAAATTAATAATAGAATTAGAGTGTAGACTTTGAGCTAATTAGATGCGGATGCCTATGTAGCACTGAAACGGAGACTGGGACAAGACGAAACGGAAACGCCGAAACGGCTATTTTGAAAAAATGGGGAGACGAAACGCCGGGGAGACGCTATATATATATATATATATATATATATATATATATATATATATAAAATCTTTTATCCCACATAAGTTTTTCCATTTTTCTTTATATATATGGGGTATCTAGCACGGCATATAAGTAAGTTAAGTCTTTTATTTGGGCCATGTGTGTCAATTGGGAAAGAAGCCCAAGAATTAGATCTGAAAAATAAGCCTAACCATATATAATAGGGAGTACAGAAAAAAAGAAAAAACCCTAGCAATTTGCATAGGAATCACAGAGGAAAGAGAAGGGAGACTATCGATTCAGGTGCAACCGCGGGTCAACGAATCTTCTCTTCTTCTTTTTCCGTCTTTTTCCTCTTTCGATCTGTGTCCAATCCGTTTTGGAAAAGGGAGACGCGTTTCCCCGGCGTCTCCCCAACGTCTCCCATCATTTTTTTTAAATTAAAATTCAAGAAACGCCACGTGGAGTTTCTGAGACGTCTCCAGGCGTCTCCCACGCGTTTCCGCGTGTCCTAGGTTTCCGAAACATAGACGACAACCTATATGAAGTTTCCGTGCAACATAGGCGGATGCTACTTGAAGATAGAAATCATACCGAATAATCCACGAGGTAACCAGATGACCTTGTTGACCCCGAGATATTGTTGAAGTTCACATTCAATGTCTTCTTTCGACATATCAGGATTCCTGTTTTTATTCAAGAGACATTCTGCTGTAGTGATGCACGTACCTAAATGAAGCACACATTGATCAGACCATGAATTCCTAGTAAATAGAGTAGACTCCATTAGTTAACTAAAGAATTTTACAAGAAGCAAACCAATTTACCTTCTCCATCTACGTGAATGCCTCCACCTTCAAGAATCATAGTATGAGGGAACCTAGGGAGCCTTTCAATGGCCAAAATCTGAGATGGAAAATGGAAAACAGTAAGGGTCCATCTTGAACCCGGGAAAGTAAATAAGAAGGAAAATAAATGAGAATTTCAAAAGGAAAGAAATTTGGGGAAAATAAAAAACTGATCCAAACCCAATATATCAATTTTAGATAATTGATTGAACTCATTTAATACTTCTTTCATTAAAAATACTGAAATCTAATTATCTAAAAATGTAGATAAAAAAATTGCAATCGGATGTGATATTCCTTCCCACTTTGCAATGCAAAACCAAACATTAAGAAAACCATTTTTCTTAGCATATTTCTCTTCACTATGAGTTTACGAGTTCCAAACACATTCTAGATAAAACCCAACGAGAAATCAAACGTTCACAGTGTTACACCAAGGTTGCAGACTTGCAGTCCCAGTTTTGACCTTGACGTACCTTCCTTGCAACAAGAAGGTCATGACTCCAGTCTGCATAGCATCCCTCCTCGACTCCTGCGATTGACCCACCAAACAATGTCATTGTTTTGAAATTTTAAAAATACAATATGATACAGACTATGCATAAATTGATACACATTACCATACACACCTATAATCATTGACCAAACACCATAATTATCATTGTAAAACTAAATTAACAAAATAGCTATGATGATTAACTAAGCATTGAACTAATCATTTTAAAGAGGATCATAAATTATTAACTGAACAAAAAGTATTTTGGTTAATTCAATTACCAGTTTCATTGACTGAATTTATAAATTCCTATAAATTTTAGCCATGCATTATATTGTAATAACATTGTACATTTTATATTTGAAATAAATGTTGTGTGCGGGCAGTGATACACACACACACACACACATATAGAATTTGGTTGAAATGAGAATGATGGACAGTGAAAGAAATGAGAATGCATAGGATCCATTAGATTTAAGATCTAAGGGCTATTAAAAATCAAAAATCTGGAAAAACAAAGAAAAAGAAAAATTCACAGCGGCCCCAAAATTCACCATTCGCACAGTAAGGTCCATTCTCACCTGAACTGCACCCTATGTATGTATGTATGTATGTATGTATGTATGTATGTATGTATGTATGTATGTATGTAATTATGTATGTATGTATGCATGCATGCATGCATGTATGCATGTATGTATGCATGTATGCGTGTATGCATGTATGTATGCATGTATGCGTGTATGCATGTATGTATGTAATTATGTATGTATGCATGTATGCATGCATGGATGCGTGTATGCATGCATGGATGCGTGTATGCATGCATGGATGTATGGATGCATGCATGGATGTATGGATGTATGTATGTATGTATGTATGTATGCTATATACACATATATACATACATATATATGTATGTATGTATGTATGTATGTATGTATGTATGTATGTATGTATGTATGTATGTATGTATACATATATACATATGTATATATGTATATATATATATATGCATGTATATATACATATGTGCATATATATATATATATATATATATATATATATATATATATATATATATATATATATATGTACGTGTGTGTGTGTGTGAGCCCAGCAATTATAATTAATGCCTTTCATGTACTTAGCTAACAAGATTTCTTTTACCATGCTAATCTGTTATCAATTTCGCAACACCCAATGCCATTGAACCACTTGCAGATACATCTGTCTCTATCACTGGGCCATCCTTTGCATTCTTTTACTCTGTATGATGTATGACTAGAATTGCTTCCAACGTTGAGTCATCCTCATCATCTTAACTACAAAGTATTATATTTCTTAGCTTTTTTTCCAATTTGTATTAGACAGTTTAAACAGAGAGTGTAATATGTTCCAAAGAAATTTTTGAACTATACTCCTTCTGTTGGCTCTGTCCCATATTTGTTGTACTTCTATTTTTTAAATTAACATTTGTAGACAAGGTGTGATTTTGTTTTGTGCTTTTTTAGGTTCATGATTGTGTTATTTAATTTTAATTTAGGATTGGTATCCTTTATGCTTTAAAGTTTACACAGAGCCTTGCGTGGGTTGGGTTGTAAGAATTCGAATTTTGAGCTTTGATTGTGTCACATTTTGAAAGGATAGTATCTCACTTATCTTATTACTATGTTACTGTGCAAATAGATTAGTAAGCTATCTGAATTATATATATATATGGTCGAGTTAGATGAATACTTTTTGGAGGGATGTTAAAGCTTTTTTAGTACGGAGTAGTAGCATCAAAAACATTGCAAAAAAACATACGGAGCATAAAGATAAAAGGTAAGGAATTAAATCATAAAACTTTACACTACTTTCATTTATTTTTACGTTAGTTTGCTTAATTTTTCTAAATTGAGCGTTCTAAAACTTTATTTCGCTTTCCTTTTTACTTTTCAGGATAAGATTCTGCACTTGAAATTGTTTCTCGCTCTTCTAAACAAGTTTTAGAAGTAAATGCAGCAACAGATCATGTATATGTTGACCACTTGATCGTGCAGACCCTAACAAAGTTGGAATTATACTGGTTATTATTGTATGGAGTATTTGATTATTTATTGTGCAATTGTTTTTTCTTAATTTTAGGATGAAAAGATCATGATTCCTGGATCTGCCTTTGGAGATTGAGATTTATGCAGAGGAAGCAGAAAAAATAACAACACTAATCTTTTCTTAAAAGAAACATAAAAGCAGTTTTGGGACAAACAAAAAATGAAATGTGAAGCCTTGTTCATGGGACAAAGAGAGTATAAAATTCTCTTTCTTTTGAAGCATAACAATTGGATGCAAGACCATTCTTAGCTATCGCAATACATTACCGCATAATAAGAAAGTAATTGAAGATTATGAAAGGACATAATTTAAGTTCAAAAAAGAAACACAAACAGCACTACAAATGGAAATTTGAAAGCATACCTCCCCAGCAATTAAAGGTCCAGTCAATGCCTGCAACCCTTGGCTCAAGATTCTGATAATTTTCTCTATCCTTTTTTACAACAAACTGAAATTGGTTGAGGTGAATTAGTTTAATACTCCGTAGTAACTACTTGTCAATAGTAACTGGCCCAACAAAATAAAGGGAAAAAAGATTAATTATTTCAGAAAAAAACAGGGGAACTCACGGTTGGACCGCTATCGCGAAACCAAGAATCATTTAAGCTCATCTCAACAACCCTGATAGGTTCCGGTAGCTGATTACGTGCATTGCTCCACTGTTCATATTGTAAGCAAATTGGGATTAGAGTATGTAAATGAGTAGTTCAAGCTTCAAAAAAATAAGGATTTCAATCTCTTTAGGAGTTAACCTGAGTGGAACTAGCACAAACTGTGACAGGCTCAAATCTTGAGATAGCAGTTGCTACACTAGCAAATACTTGCTGAGCGTGCACAGCATTTTCCCTCCAGTTATCGGGTCGTTCCTACAACTCAATGAATAAGTAACTCACTTCATAGAAAAGATTTATACTACCCACTAAGACTAAAATATTAAAGTTAAAATGAATAAATTATTTTTATTCGTCTCTGCATCCGGATTTAGTTGTATACATTCCAAAATACAAAGTATCACATTTTTTAATGTCCACAGACCACAATGCTAATATTTTATCTAGAAGATATTTAGATAATCCATCATAATATGTTACATAAATATGAAAACTTGACACCTAATTCAGGATGCACAAAATCAAAGAGTTAATACTCATTTTGGTCCTTCTAAGTGTACTCAAAACTCGATTTTGTCCTTGTAAGTTCATTTGAGTCAAATTAGTCCCTATAGATAAAAAAAAATGTGAATCAAGTTAGTCTTTCGAACGAAATTTATCTCCTAAAATTCTGAGTTACCACATTAATTGATGCAAGAGCAATGACCCCATGTATTAGTTTTTGTGTCAATTATCGTGTCAACTTAGAATTTTAGAAGATTAACTTTGAATAAAGAACTAATATGATTCATATTTCCAAGTTTCAGGGGCTAATTTGATTAAATTGAACTTACAGAGACCAAATTGACTTGTGAGTGCACCTACAGGGACTAAAATGAGTATTAACTCAAATTTAAAAAACTGACAACTAAATCCGAACGGAAGGAGTAAATAAAGAGTCATCATGGATAACATGTTACCTTCAGTTATAAATAATGGACTGAACCAAAATGGCACATCAGATTTCTTTTGATCATTATTTATGATGTTTTTGGAAGTAAATGCATCAAAGCTCAAACCCAAACAGTTTCTCTGTTTTAAAATGGCTAAGGTTACATCATCTTCAGTTCTTGACTCCAAGGCATTGAGATTATACTGTATTTTGTTGTTATCTTATCATTGTTCACTACTTCACATAGATTAATTATGAAAATTGAGAAAGTGATTGAAATTTGGAATAGTTAGCTTCAATTCTATCTAAAAGAAACTAGGGCCAAATTCTCATCACCAGAATATGAATATATGATCCTTCCAAAAGGGCGAGAATTCAAAATCATGAAAAATAGATCTAACCACAATAACATCAATCTAAGATGCGGCGCAAAATACTACTTCAAGATAATCAAGCAAAGAAAGAAAGAACAAAAGAGAGAGCTATTACTGGCCAGCCGATCCAAGTTTGTGAATGGGATTCCCACTCAGCAGGCATGTAGTAGCCATGGTCAGCTGGTTTTCCCTTCAAGTCCATCTGCTTCCTTCAGTTCCTTAATTTAAGTCCAACTGCGAGTTCCCTTCTTATTTATCTCAAATACTCCGTATATAACTAATCTTGAACAAAAATTTGTAAGAGCTCTCTCCAAAGTACATCAAAAAATGTAGGGATATGCCCCAAATGTACACCACCTCTTTTTTTACCATTTATTTTATTTTGTTTTTAATTTTAATTTTTTTTTGAATTTTTCTTGCTTTTTTGTGTGGTGATGGAGGGGGTGGGGGGTGTTTGGGGTACACTAAAAGTGTACCCCTAGCATTTTCCAAAAATGTATCTCAAATTATATCCTAAAGAAATGAATCGATATTTTAATTATTTACACAAGCACCAAATGTTAGTTTGTTTAAAAAAATTGTACTGATATTTTTTGTCAATATAGCATCACACTTGCACAAAACGTCAGTGCATGCCTTTGGGTACAAAATATAAATTTTGGTTTACAAATAGCTTAATCCTAACTCTTAACTCCCAACTCCCACGTATACTCTCAGATACTTTCAATTTTTATTGTACACATTATATGGTGGTGTTTCTTTGTGTTTATAAGTTAGTCAAAACTGTTTAAGTAGTTTTAACTTATTCTTATTAAAATCAGATCAGGTCAAATCAAATAAGATCATATTCAATCAGACCAGATCAGATTAGATCTAAACCAAATTAATATTATTATTTTTATTATTATTCTTACTATTACTATTATTACCATTATTATTAGTTGTATTATTATTATTACTACTACTATTACTATTATGATTATAATTATTTTTACTATTGTTGTTGTTATTATTACTATTAATATTAATAATATTATTATTGTTACTATTATTATTATTACTATTATTAATATTACTATTATTATTACTATCACTATTACTATTATTATGACTATTATTATTATTATTACTATTGTTATTATAATTATTACTATTATTATTATTACTAATTTTATAAGGATTTCTATTATTATTATTATTAGTTCTATTATTATTATTTCTAATATTATTTTTATTAATATTATTATTAGTATTATTATTATAGTTATTATTATTACTATTCTTATTACTATTACTATTATTATCACTATTAGTATTAATATTACTATAATTATTAATATATCCATTATTATTATAATAACTATTCTATAACTATTATAATAAAAAATTTAATTTTAATTTTAATCAAATTTATGTCAGATTAAATCTAATTAGATGAGATCAGACCACATCAAACCAGATCAGATTAGATCCAATCAGATCGGATCGGATCAGAACAAAACTTCAAAAAATCAGATCGGATCAGATAGGGCGAACAGAACACAGCCTAAGTCAATTGATGACATGTTTCTGTGTACTTATAAGCTGCTTATAAATTAGGAAAAATGAGTAAGTCATAGCTACTTATTTTTAAGCTAGTTTTTTTCTTTCTTCATTTTGATCAGATTATTAACAAAGTTGTCCCTCACCATTTATGAAGATTTAAAAATAATTTATCTAACATTTAAGTTATTTTACTTTGACGAAAGAATATTTCACTTATAAGCAGCTTATACGTTAAAAACTATTTATCGGCAATAAGCTAATAAACACCAGCACTGAGAAACACCCTCATAAAATATAATTGGGGATTTGGGGGTCTTTAAAATTTGTGGTATTGTGCTCCAAGGGTACATTCTGTCTGTCCATCATTAGGATTAAATGTTTGGTTATTTTGACAAATACAGAGTTTTACATTAATAACTATTATTTTATTAAATTTAAATAAAATCTTTTAATTTGTTAAGGTTAATGAACTCTCAATCATAACACCTTAATAGACTAAATGTATTCTCGGAGTATGATATCACAAATTTTAAGGATTCCAAAATATATTTCAGATAATATGAGAATTGATAATTCTTACTACAAAATTATTTTTAAACTCTATGAAATGAAACTAATGGCCAGAGTATAATAAATTTGGAAAGATAGAGTATATTATTTGGATAATATTTGGAGTGGTGATAGCCAAGCCCCACCAAAATATTAAATTCAACCCACATGCTAATATCACTCTGTTGCTTTTTAAATTATTTTTAATCTCGTGCTTCCCACGGGTTGTTATATATTCTAAATTTTTTACTATGTAACATATTGATAAAATTACATTTTGAATTAAAATATTTAGTTTTTTATTTAATTTTCTAATAAATATTAGTATGCATTATCTAAATCTTTTCAATAATATGATATGAAATTTTTTTCAAATAAAACTTGTAGTTTTAATAATGATTCACATTTATGAAATGTTAACTAATATACTTTTTGTTTGAAAAGCAATAAAAAGGAAAATGGTTTATAGCTTTAAATTTTATATAAAGCTTTATATATTATTAAAAAAATCAGAATAGGGAAAATACATAATTGTATAATACTTAGAAATGGAAAGTTTATACAAATTTATTGTTCAGCAAAATTAAGAGTAATGAAAGTTATTTTAATCAACTAAAAATTAAAATAAAAGCTTCAAAATATTTTAAAGTTAATTTTAAAACTCATATGATTTTTTTAAAAGTAACAAAATAAAACAAACGATTGATAATTCTAAAAATATATTTATAATGTTTGTTTTAATTTAAAGGACTCTTTATAATTTTTGTAAATAATAACATAACTATACATCATGGGGGGTATGTAGTTGACGTGGTGTATTTAATGTTTTAGCAGGTTTAGCTATCACTATCCTAATGTTTGTGATATAGAGACTATGAATGCAATACTAGGTTTAATGAATTTGAAGTTCTAAGTAGAACATAATTTGATTAGAACTAGCTTTTATTATATTAGGAAAATATAACTCAAAACCTAATACAATAACTCTCAAAGAAATCTCATATGGCTCTCATATCAAAACCAAGATTTGGCTATATGATATATATAGTGTTAACTCAACTTGGACAACAAGTAAAATAATTAATTCTAGGATCCATAATTCTATTCCTACTCAAACTAAAATATCTCGGATAATCCTAATCCTACTCGGTAATTAGCCAACAATCACCCCCTTAATTTCCGAGTTGGATTCCGGGTGATCTTCAACTCTAAGCATGTCTTCTTTATCTTGATTTTACCAAGACTCCTCATGATCCCTTGAAGTGTTCTTTGGGCTCCACTTAGCTTGAACAAACACTTGCTTACAACTCTTACGACTATTGCACATCCTTCCCAGGGCTAAGATCTCTTTCCTGACAAGATTCTGACTCGTACTTCACGTACATTCTTTTAGTTGGTCAACTCGTTGTAGATCTCTACCTGCAAAATTTTTCATTCCAATCATGTTACCTTGTGTATCGAGACTTTATATCTTGAGATTGATCTTATACAAACAATTCTTGGTCCTTGTCACCTTCATCATAAGCTTTCAGTGTCATCATGAATGGTTAGCAAATCACACTCCATGTGAACGTTGCATCCACCTTCCGTTGATTGACCAAGACTTATTATGTTGCTTTACAAGCTAAGTATGTAGTAAACATTAGTGAACACGCGCTGCCCCCCCATTTTCCCTTCAACTAACACTGATCCTTTCCATGTATGTCAATACAAGATCCATCTCCAAGCTCCTTTCCCGTGGCACGTTCATTAAGTTCAAAGAAGTCAGCTTGATTACCTGTCATGTGATTCAATGCTCCGTTGTTGAGATACCAAATATCTTTCTCCTTTGGTTCAATCTCGAAACGCTTTAGAATCACCCCTTCTTCATTTAGAAAGACGTTCTCTTGATCACATCTCATCATGAACAAAGATGGATCCAAAAAATCAATTTTAGCTAAATTAGTGATAAGTCTGTTTTGTGCATTCTTATATTCTTCGTATTTAATGTGTTATTGTCAAATTTTGGTCAACCAAGACAATTTCTCAATTATTTTTATAAGTTTTTATTTATAATTGTAAAATTGCACAAAAGTTATGTCTTGTTGTAAAAATAATAAAAGTTTAGTCAAAAGTTGTACAAAAGAGGGTGAAAGTTAGAAAATGCATAGCATCAAGAGAGTTGAGGTCAAACTTGAAGAAAATTATTTTAAGATAAAGATCACAAACCAAAAAAGAGATTGAATTGGGTCTTGAAGGGAAAAAAATTGAAGAAAATGGTGAAAAAAAAAGTTTTCGACCGAAAAGCAGTCCAGGCCTCGGACAGGCGCCCGCCTAGACCTCAGGCCCACGCTTGTAAGATGCTTAGACCTTTGAAGAAGAAATATCGCAAATTCAATCACGGAAAATAAAGAATCTGGCTCAGGCCACGGACAGGCCCCCTCATAGCCCTTAGGCCCGCGCCTGCCGGAGGCCTGGACCGAAATTTTCTCCTATAAAAGGAGAGCTTCGCCCCTCCATTCCTCATCACCTCTTCTCGGGGTCTTTAAGGCCCGTAACTCCATTCTCTGATTTTTTTCTAAGTTGTATTTCAATATTTTAGTTTATTGTTCTAGTTGTTCCAAAGTGGCTCCGACTCTGCTCTCTGTTGTAAGTTTTAATACTTGCAATTTTAATAAAATATTTTCTTTTCCATGCACTATTAATATTTAGTATGAGTTAGGGTCCAGATTAGGGTCTGGGCTAAATTTGGGCATATACTCTGTATGTTTATTCAATAGTTGGAATAATAATTCTAGAATTATTTTATTGTTAAATTAATTAGTTATGTCGAGAGAAAAATTAATTAATTATTAGAAATTAGTTTTTGCCTTGTCTATGAGGATATAAAATTAATTAAGATAAACTTTTTAGAACAAATTAATAGTAGCTTGAGAGATGATAAGTTAATGAAATATTTGTGACAGAAATATTATTATTCAATTATTGATTAAATATGTGACAAGAGTAGTTAACCTAGATGATGCTTTAGCTCGAAGTCTAGTCCTATACCTGTACTATTTATTTTCTTTCTCAAAAAGCGCTCAGTAGTGTAGTTTATTTTTCTTTCCAAATCAAATCGAGAAGACTCCCAGACTCGTCCAAACCTTTGCCTAGTTAGAAAAATTAGCTAATTCCCTTCGTCATCTCCT